AGCATGTTCTTGTTCTTGTTATTGCTGTACTGGCAAAAGACAGCAATGCAGGCCACACTAATGCTTGGCAATTTACTCAGCTCTAAAATAGCAAAGCATGCAAATTAAAAATGCCATTGGGCAAGTTCCACTCTCACACACATACACACACACACATAAAGACAAAGAGAGGGACATGTCGACCACCACTGACAGCTTGCATGCAAATATGTACTATACATGAGGCCAAACAACATGTCGTAGAGTTACACAAAGTGCTTAATCAAGCTTAAAAGAAAAGGACTTGAAAAAGAAATAATAAAAGCATGACCCACACACTAACACTCACATTAGCACTCACTAGCACATACTAGCATATTGGCGCAAACACAGCCACCCACCCACACACCCACACACACCCACACACTCTCACACACAAGCCTCACTCATTGAGTGCGCAAAGTGAAGTGAAGTAGTTTAAAATTAAAAAGGACACTTAATCCTGTCAATGTGTTACCGCTGCCAACGTCCTAAGTGAAATTCTAGCGAACTGCCAGCGCCGAGAGCGCTCGGATTAGCAGCTAGCCCGAGCCCCAGACCGATCCTTCCCTATATTGAAGGGGCAGGGTTGTGGTGGCCGTAGTTGCTGACTGATGGGTGTATGGGTGTTTTCATTTGATTTGGCTTGTCTTCATGCATGCATGCATGCCTGCACCCCTTCCTACATCACACCCTCTGAGAATATGTGTGTGTGTGTGTGTGTGTGTGTGTGTGTCTGTTTGCACACTGAAGCGCACAAAAAGTGCAATTATGTGCACAAAATGGAAAATGACGCCAGGAATTGGAGCAATTCGAAACGGCAGAGCTCCAAATGAAGACACAAGCGGGGATGGAATTGAAAAAATGGTGCAGACAGAATGAGACGAACTACTTGGAGCCACAACTCTGATTGCCAGTTATGCTTTGTTCGTGTCTAGGCTTCATGGTAAACAAATGGGTAAGCATCAGATGGAGGGAGACATTGCAAGACAGCATGCATTAATTCAAAAGCAAAGGGGGGGGACTGAATAATTATGATGTGAACAATTAGCATGCCATTAGGGAGGATATATTTTGGCACGGACAGACAGCAGCCATGTAATGAGCTGCACAATAGTTCAGTTGAGTTATAGATCTAAGATGGACTGAACTTTATAGCCAAACTATTTTGGAATTAAATTAAAAGATTTAAATACAAATATTAAATCAATAGTACACATATCTATTGAGGTACGTTTTATGGTGCATATGCTTCCGACCTATATATGTATACTACAAGTATATTTATATAGACACTTTAACCAGATAACTAAGCTCCACAGGCAAGTTCACGCCCTCCTCTGCATACCAAATCCAGATCTTGTTCATCCACAGATCTTTGCTCTCATACAGGCAGATGGAGAGACGGATATGTGTAGAACAATTCGTCATGTCACATATACTTGTAGTTTGTGGAGTCTATTGCAAAATCTGAACAATCTAAGCAAGTAAGGCAGAAACTAATGCAAACAAGAAAGGAATGCTACAGTCAAGTGGGCTCCACTATTAAACACCCTGTACTCACATCCACAAAAAGGAAAAAAAAAAATTATTTAATAAAAAGAATGTAGTTATTTATATAAATTAAATTAGAAATATTCAATACATACATATTATACTTAAGTGAAGGCAAATGTTTATGTACAGTTTCAAAAGCATACATTTACAGCAGAATCGTATCCCTGCATTACAGAAATAAGTCATAGCAGCACCAACAACAGCTGCTTTATAATTACCCTACACTATGAAACTTGGCTTACAGACACATAAGCACTTAAAATCACCAAATTTGAATTCAAAATTCCAGGAATAACGGGAGTTATGGAAAATTGTGAATACCGGAGCAGTGGGGGGTGTATCAGAAAAAAACCACAAACTCATCCTTCCTCGGACTTGGGAGAATCTGGATACCAAGTTTGGCTATTCTAGCTCTTATACATTCTGAGATCTTTGCGTTCATACAGACGGACGGACCGACAGACAGGCGGACATTGCTTTATTGACAATACTTTGTGGGGTCTGAACAACTAGTATACCCCTGGGGAACAGGGTATAAAAAAAAAACAATATTTAATGTCACATCAGTCAGGCCTTGGGCGTTGCGTAAATTTATGAAAAGCGGAGCCAATAGTATATATGGCATGTATTATAAATAATTCTAGAAATTTTTATAGCATGTACCCAAAGGGTACAAGGGTCCGTCTCTATGAACGCAAGCATCTCAGGAAGTACAAGAGCAAGAATAACCAAACGCGGTATCCAGATTCTACTAAGTCCGAGAGAGGACGAGTTTGTGTTTTTTTTCTGATGCTCCCCACCCCCCCCCCCCCCCCCTCTCCACCGCAATTCGTGTTTTTCCCATAATCCCCGTAACTCCCGTATTTTTTGGAATTTTGTACTCAAATACATCCGTATAGGGATTATGTGTCTGAGTGCCAAGTTTCATCATGATAGGTTAATTATGAAGAAAGTTATAGCCACAAACATAATCTCTGCCCAAGCTCTGCCGGCAGGGGTTGCTGCTTTGACTATTTTTTTTACTGCATACAAGCAGGCATAGACAGGATTCTGATGTAAATCTATGCTGTTGAAATTGAAATTGTACATGAACACTATGTCTGTATGCATGTGTTAAATATTGTATTTTTAATTTAATAAAAATATTTAATTGAATTAATTAATTAAATTATTTTTAATTTTTTTTTTTTTTTGAGGGTGGTACAGGGTATTTAAGAGTTGAGCCCGCTCGACTTTAGCATTCCTTTCTTGTTTTACTTTATATTTATTTTTGCAGTTGATATTTGAACAGTACATTATAACTTCTTTATCTATCAAAGGAAGATGGCATTAATGGGCTGCAACATACGCTTCGTATATGCAATCAGCTTAAAAGCTCGGCATATACATAAGAGCAGTAAAACAATTTGCAAAAGTATTGGTCAGTACACGTCAAGGTGTCGAGTCAATTCCTGACTATATAGATCCCCCAATTTGCAAATTCTCTCACTCTTCACCATTTGTTATTTATTATCCAAGTGCCCTATTCTCGCACTTCGCCTGCTATACACTGTTTATTATGGCAGTTTGTACTTGTATTTATGTTTCCTACATCAACGTATTGTACCAAGTCAGTTCTCTTAAATCGAACTGAAAGGTTCGCCAATATCTTGGGTGTGGTGCAGAAGATCTTCTTCACCACTGTGCTGACGATTATTCATCTCAACTCCATATCGCAATATCGACGGTACGGCTCTATTTATGCGAGCATTTCCAAATTGGAGCGTGACATTTTCGAAGCCGGTCAGCCATATGGCTGTAAGAGCTTTTATTGGCTTATAGCCTTGAGTTGTGGCCTGTACAGCGTTTTTCTTATCGCTGCCGTTCCCAGCTTATAGCGCCCGCTCTCAGCGAATTCTTGACTCTTCATCAAGAAGTCTTAACCGAATTAATTATTCTGCTCCTACAGCTCAAAAGCTACGAATATTGTGTGTTTGTACAGCTAGAATATGAATTACTGTTGCGACTGAAACTACAAGTGGGAAAAACTGCAAACGGAAATGGAGGATGTGGAGAGCATCGAGCCTTGTTGCAGGCTCTACAGGCCACGACAATCAGCTACTTATGGCGCTGGTCTGGGGTCGTTTGTTGGCGAACTGGAGACATACTTCGTTCAAATTGTTATTCTACATGTTCTCAACTGAGTATACTAAATCCAGGCGCTGAGTGCGTTCCAGCCGTTACTGTGAGTTTTACAGAATTCAATTGGAAAGCGCTATTTGTGAATTTTATCAAAATCAGTTCGACATAAAAATATTAATAAAACTTTTTCAAAAAATTCAAAAAATAGTTCAATTTTAATTTAGGCATCTACCTGTTTAAGTACTAGAGCTAGCTGGCATAGACTTTCGTTGGAATAAGAGCACTACAATAATACTAATCTGTTCAGTCATCAATTAAATTAGTCTGTAACTTAACCTGCATATGTATTCTTTAAATATTAGAGTCCCATGGGTCCACTGATAAATCAACCGAACTAAATTTAAGTTGATTCTACAATTACAAATGGAACTTACTACGAATTGACGAGTTGACTGGAGATAAAGGACGATAGTTTAATCCGAAAAGAACACATTAAGCACCTGAAGTACCAATCCAACCAACATTTGGTCAACCAATTATAGAAATGTGGTTCTTACCAATACATTGTTTATTCAGATGTGTCAATGAAAGCCCAATTCTTGTCTGGTTCTCAATCCATTAGGTTATTAGTTTTTGGAATATGCTAAGATTTTTTTGTCTTTTATGAAATCCAGTCCATTGGCAAATAAGCAGAGCCAAATGACAATCAAATGGGCAGCTATCGCCAAAAACGTATCTGTTTTATTTTTTTTTTTTTGAAACTTTGCACCGAGTCTTTTTTAAGGACACAGATATTTCGAGATCGACTGTTTCAGATCACCATCACTTTGTTGTCATCAGCTTTTAATCAAAAAACTTGTATATTTTTGAAAAATATTCGATTAAAATTTCATATTAAGAGTGTTGCTGTCAAATATGAAATTACTTTCGAATTTTTTCCATAAATCCAGTCTAAATATTTTTAAGCTATTTTTATTTTCAAGACAAAAAAAAACATTCAAAACAAAACAAATTTAAAAGATTGAAAAAGTTGAATGTTTTTAATTAGGCCGATATCTTTTAATACATTAACAATAAAAGATTTCTAAGACATTAATGGAACATTTTCCATATTCCTTCGTTAATCCATTATGTATACCTATTTGATTGAACTAGCAGCAACTCTTGAATCAGATATACTATAAAAGCCTTTTATCTAATTAATTAATATGACATCAATGCAATACAGAACGGACTGCGACTGCGACTGCAATTTGTCTAAATGGCCACAGTCTCGAATACGCCAGTGACTAAGAAACTACAAAATGTCGAGTCAACTGTTGAGTGCAACACGTCCATATTTACAGCTCTGTTCGGTGCTTACGTTGACCTTGCCACCCAATTTCCACACTTTGCCGGAGCAAAGGCGACGCCGGCTCCTCTTCATATTTGCTTGCTATACGCTCCTCATTCTGGCAATCGGTGGTTATGTTACGTATATCAATATATTGGGAGTGTACTTTGAGATCAAGTTATATAAACTGGAGGAATTTACCAATATTCTGGAAGTAATACATACGATATTTTTCACAATACTGTTGGCAGCCATTCATCTGAATATGTTGCTGCAATATCGACGTCTTGGTTCACTGTATGTGGATATTGCCCAAGTTGAGAGAAACATTTTCGAAGCGGCTCAACCTTATAAAGACTTAACAAGAGTTTTCAGTTTCCGATGGCGCCTAGCGTTGAAGTCTGGACTGCTCATGGTATTTCTGGTCGTCACTCACTCCTACATTACGGCAACTGGTCTTGCAAAATCTTTGTCTTTGTACGAACAAATCTTAACCATATTCATTCTGGGGCTTCTCCAGTTTAAGTGTGTAGAATATTGCGTGTTTGTGCAATTAATACACGAGCTAATACTCTCCCTTAAACGGCAACTACAGCAACTTCATAGAGAGATGGAGGATTGCGGAGAAAACGACGCCTTGTTGCAGGCTCTTTGCAGCGCCTTACGTTTGAATCAGCTATTATTATTGCGTGTGTGGGCCTTGGTGGGCGAACTGGAGGCCTACTTTATGTTGCCCATGCTCCTTCTCTTTTTCTTTAATGCAGTGTCCATATTTTGCTTAGTTAACTGGTTATACATACAGTCGGTGAATCAACTCGATTTCTCTCGTAGCTGTAAGTGTCGAATATTGCAACTTATATTTTTTGTTTATCCAAAAAAATTTGATATGCAATAATTTCCAGGGCGCCTGTACAATGTTTTGGTGTTGGTGGTCAATCTCTTTGTTCCCTGCTGGCTAGCCCAGTCCTGCATCAATACGGTACGTAACAGGAGGCTGCGTTTATCTCCTTAAACATTTAAGTTGGTTTTCCCCCCACAGTATAATAGTTTTAGCAACATGTTGCATAGTGTGGAACATGGCAATTCACGAATGTTGATCATGCGGCTGAGGGAATACGCCTTGCAGCTGCAACACCTCAAGTTGCTTTTCACCTGCGGCGGACTGTTTGACATCAACTTGAAGTATTTTGCAGGTGTAAGTAGCAGAGCTGAGGTATTTCCTTTTAAGCCAAATAATTTAAACTACGTGTTCTACAGCTGATTGCCACCACTTCGACCTATGTAATCATTCTGATTCAATTCAAACTGCAAGCAGATATTGAAGCTAAACAAGCAGCCAACAATGCTGCCAAAGTCCCTATTCCGCTCTCGTAAGCTAACTTTTTCAAATTTCCCGCAAAGGTGAATCGCTTCCACACTCAATGACATACATTTCAGCAACTGACGCAACACATATGCAGTGCAAAGGAAAGCAGTTTAAGAAATTAAGTAGAAGGTTACTGCTATAGAACTCAAAGCAGTCACACCCAAGATGGGATACACACACGCTCTATTCATACTTTCTATTATTGTAAGGTAAATTTAATTTACATATTCAAAAACAAGTGGATTCTGTAATTGAATTGATTTAAATATTTTATCTCTTATTATCTCGATTAGTATCTTGATTCGAGTTACGGTTTACTTATTCTGTACGTTCCTAAAAATATACACTTCATGTTGCGCTACTTCTTAAAATTGTACTCAAATTTATTTTAGTTAAATTGCAAAGAAATCTGAAATGCCGGAATCCAGGAACAGAGTATAAAGTTCTCTTAGTCTTCTCAAAAAAAGGGACGTGTTAGTCCCGGACTTCCAGGTCCCTCATAGAGGGGTCATAGAGAAATTTTCAAGCACAGTACGAAGAGACTTTGAAGAACAAATTAATTAAGAATTAAGAAAATGCTTATGTGTTCTTATCCTATATTGTAGCCACAAAGCTTATACCTTTTTCAATTAGCTAGCAACAACTCTGGAATCTGATATAAAAACGACCCATCTAACTAATTAATATGACATCAATGCAATACAAAAGCGTGTTCGGGCCACAATTTTGCTAAAAGCGGTTGTAAATGGCGACAGTCTTGAATTCCCCAGTGACTAAGAAACAACAAAATGTCGAGTCAACTGCTGATCGCTGCTCGTCCATATTTACAGCTCTGTTCGGTGCTTACGTTGACCTTGCCACCCAATTTCCACACCTTGTCGGAGCAGAGGCGACGCCGGCTCCTCTCCATATTTGCTTGCTATACGCTCCTCATTCTGGCAATCGGTGGTTATGTTACGTATATCAACATATTGGGAGTGTACTTTGAGATCAAGTTATATAAACTGGAGGAATTTACCAATGTGCTCGGAGTGATGCATTCGATATTTTATACAATACTGTTGGCAGCCATTCATCTGAATATGTTGCTGCAATATCGACGACTTGGTTCACTGTATGTGGATATTGCCCAAGTTGAGAGAGACATTTTCAAGGCGACTCAACCTTATAAGGACTTCACAAGTGTTTTGAGTTTCCGATGGCGCCTAGCATTGAATTCTGGACTGCTCATGGTATTTCTGGTCGTCACTTATTCCTACATTTTGGTTCCCCTTCTTGCAAAATCTTTCACTTTGCACGAACAAATCTTAACCGTATTCATTCTGGGGCTACTCCAGCTCAAATGTGTGGAATACTGCGTGTTTGTTCAATTAATCCAAGAGCTTATACTCTCCCTTAAGCGGCAGCTACAGCAACTTCAAAGGGAGATGGAGGATTGCGGAGAAAACGACGCCTTGTTGCAGGCTCTTTGCAGCGCCTTACGTCTGAATCAGCTACTATTATTGCGTGTGTGGGCCTTGGTGGGCGAACTGGAGGCCTACTTTATGTTGCCCATGGTTCTTCTCTTCTTCAGTAATGGTGCGACCATATTTTACACAGTCAACTGGGTGTACATACAGTCGCCTAATCCTAACGACTGCTGTCGTTACTGTAAGTTTTTAAAATCTCAAAAGATGATGATTGATGTGCAATAAATATTGTATCACTGTCTCTATTTTCAGGGCGCCCCTGCATTATTTTGGTATTGTTGGTCAATCTCTTCGTACCCTGCTGGCTAACCCAGTGCTGCATCAATTCGGTAGGTACCAGGAGATTTCGTTTATCCTTTTGAGCACATTTGAAGCTTTTTCCCCACAGTACAACAGCTTTAGCAACATGTTGCATAGTGTGGAACATGGAAATTCACGAATGTTGATCATGCGTCTGAGGGAATACGCGTTGCAGCTGCAACACCTCAAGTTGCTTTTCACCTGTGGTGGATTATTTGATATAAACCTAAAGTTTTTTGCGGGTGTAAGTGCCAGTTTTGATGTATTCCAATGCCATTAAAGTCATTTAAATTATACTATTTTTTCGACAGCTGATTGCCACCATTTCCACCTATGTAATCATTCTGATTCAATTTAAAATGCAAGCAGATATTGAAGCTAAACAAGCAACCAACAATGCGGCGAACAGCCATGTACCGTTTCTGCCGTTCCGTTAGACTAACATTTCACAATTTCCCAAAAAACTGGTACATTAACCGTTGAATGGCATACATTTCAGCATTGACCCTGAACACATGCAGTGCAAAAGAAAGCAGTTTAAAAATTAGGTAGAAGCTTATTGCTACGCAACAGACCCAAGATGGGATACACACACGCTTTATTTATACTATCTATGTAAGGCAAATACAATCGACAAAATCAAGAACAAGTTGATTCCGTAAATCAATTTATTTAAATATTTTATCTATTATTGTTTCAGGTTTTTCGCCACACCCGTCGACGTCTCGCTTCTAGTTCCAGTTATAATTAATTTATGCTATACGGCCTTAAAAATAGACATTTCATGTTGCGTTACTGGAAGTTCTTAAAATTGTACTCACAATTATTTTAGTTTAATTGCAACGGATTGAACTTATATGCTACAACTTACTTGCTATATTGCTTATCACCTACTGCTAAACATCTGCCCACCTAGACCTATCAGTGTATAATTTTTAGATGACAACGATAATCCTAATATATATATTGATTTACCTATAACCGCTCGTATATAGCATAGAATGAGTGGATTTTAATTTTTGTGAAATGTTCAGTTGCGTTCATTTGTTGCTTTTGCAATATTTTATAACCTTTAATGGATAATCACAGATTAAATAACTGGAATAAGTTGTGGAAGTTGTGTACACTCACAAATATACAAATATATTTAACTAGAGCAAAAAATTGGCTATTTAAAATGCGCCAACAACCAAGAAACTGTGGCAGAAAACTGTTGCTTTACTTTGACCAATAATACATGTATATAGATATATAACATTTACAGAATCAACAAGCACACACTATATAATTTGCTGTCGATAGAAATGATGATTGTTCATAATAATTCCATTACACAATTCAATTATACAATTTTGCCACTGGCAGTACAATTAAATTAAAGCTTCACAGATTAAATATTACATATCCTTTATATAAAACCATACATATGTTGGTATCAAAATAATTGTGGAAGGACACTGGCGGTGTTAATATCTACACAAACACACATACTTGTTTATATAATAATATACAATACCATTCAATAATATCATCTAGTTTACATGTTCAAGTTGTCGGTCATATAACTTATGAGATAGTACAAATAGATAAAAAGACACACTGTAGGCAGGAGATAATTCAGCAGTAGGTTAACTATTATCCCGTCCCATGCTTGCCGTTCTCGAACAGACCCTTCTTGAAAAAAGGCGACAACTGAACGAGCGAGGCACGCGTGAGTCCAGGACCACCGGGTCCGTCATAGATGGGACACTGCGGAATTTTGGAGCACACTACGAAGAGACGGCGTAAGTAGAGTTCCAGCAGACGACGTCGATGCTTAGCCACTGGTTCGCTGTTAGAAGCGAAGAGTTCGCGGCGCGGAAAAGGCAAGGCAGAGATCTGCAATAAAAAAAAGATATATATGAGTAGACATTCATAGATCCACTTATAAAGTGAAAAGAGTCATCGGAATTTATTTTTTTACTACACAATTCACACCCACGATTGTAAAATTGCACAATTTCTCGGTTACCTTTGCACCATAGCAGTGCTTCATACACAGATGCAACTCTCGAAAGCGACTGTAGCGGCGCAATATGTTCAGTTTGCCATCGGGGAGAGCAATTCGCACTTCATACTCATAGTGTGTCTGCTTTCCAGCTCCCCGCATTACAAAGTTGGGTATGGTTATGAAATGCTCGCCCTCAGCTAAAAAGAGAATCAAAATTAATATGTTTTCATATATGCTTAATGCTGCTCTTTACTTACGAAACTCACGCATGGAAGGCAATGAACGCGTCATGCTTGGCGAGTAAGTAGACTCATTTATGCTCATTGTGGAGCGCATCATTGCGTTGGTCTCTTCAGGGCAACAAGCCGTATGTTCCTCCAAGTCTTGCTCCGATTGGAGCAGCTCTTGCTCCATTTGAATATAGCGTTTCTGGAGCACCTGTAAATCGGCAATTTGTTGATCCAACTGCGCCTTATTCACCGACATTTCCAGATTTTTCATAATGAGCGCCTTCTGTGAGGCAATTTGTTGACGCAGCGCATACAACGGACAGTAGGGGCGAGACGGGTTCCGACCCATTTCACAGGATGAGCACGAGCCCGTTTCCTCATCCGAAGTGCGCACACTTTGCTTGTAGTTATTGGCATGGCCATAGCCGTTGCTATTATTTAACAGCGCTTGATTTCTACTATCCAAGCACACGCCACTGTCGCTCATAATAGCCTGCGAGGAAGGTGTAAGATTGTTGCGCGCAACACCACTCCCAACACTATTCCCACCACTGCCACTGCTTACGCCGGCGGTACAGGTGCGGGAAGTGTCTTCGCTACTATGTGACGTGTTTGAGAGTTCGTCCTTGCGCGTATACTCGGCCTCATCCTCAGCCTCGCAGGACGTGCCTGAGTAATTGCTCAGTGGCGTCTGTTGACCCTCCGTTATTGTGGGCGAGGACACATGCGAGAAGTTCTCCTGCGCCGTGTGGTAAGTATCACAGGTTTCGTACGTATCCGATTTTGACACATCGTCGGCATCGGTGTTTGTGCTTGTCGAATTGGACATGCTGGATTTTCCAAGTTGAAGCTTCAGGTTCTGTTTCTTCGATCGCAGCACTTGGTTCTCGACTTCGCTGTCCGCCCGCTCTTGCCGCAATTGCTCCAATTGCGCCTGGATTTCCAACATTTGTTCGTCAACTTGTGCGATTTTCGTAGTGCTTGCATTGAGAATTAACTCCTTTTCTGCAATTTCTTCGTCCAGCTTCCGTATTTCCTCGTTCTGTGCGTGTACAAGAGGTTTATAAAATTACAAGTTTGCTACGTACTCTCTTCCTCTATGTACTTACACTTCTTCTGACGGTGGCCTTAATGTATTGCGTCGCATAGGAATCTAATGAGTTGGACACGTGCAATAGCAGCTCGTCGTTCAGGGGCGTTCCCACCTCAATTTTCATGCCCATCTATACAAAATAGATATCAATTTTGTTTAAAATATTAAACATAGTTCGGTTAATAAATAGATAGCTTGAAGCTCTGTGCCAAATAATAAATATCCGTATATGTATACACAAACAAACCTCTTCAAGTTTGCCGCAATCTTGCAAGTTCTGCAATTCTTTAGCTACGTACTCAGAAAAATCGCGTTTCTTTGAGTCGAGCTGTGTTTGAAGTGCGGAAATTTGTCTACACACAATGTCGATCTAAAAAGAAAATTAAGTAGACAACATAAAATCGAAATGAACGGAAACAAATGTGGAAATTAGGAGATAGCATGCAGGAAATTAAATTAAAGATACATACAAGCTAAAAAAGCTTAAAACAAGAAAACATTTGCATTCCATATAATTAGTGAATGAAAGCCAAGAGTGGGTAACTACTAGATCATATGGGGCATAAAGGAACAGCTCTTCGAAAACGCGAACCCACCTGAACCTTCTCGTTATTCTTTTCCCACATCAGCATGTCCTTGCGCGCAATCAGCTCCTGTTCACGACAATGCAACAGCTGTAGGCTGTCCATTTCCTCCTGCTCCAGGCGTATCAGCTCCTCCTTTAGCTTTCGGACCTTGATCTTGTATTGATCATGCATTTGTACCCGTTCCTACACACAGTTCAAAAAATGTTTCTAGTTAGTCTGAACATTGACTGGAAAAACCTGATTACTTACCACGTTCAGCTGCTTCAGGGCATTCTCGATTGTCTCCAATATTTTACGATTCTCATCTTGCAACTCCGGATCGTCGTGGGAGGTGGGTCGCTGGGGATTATACTGGCGGTCTGGTCGTTTATACGGCGATGATGTGCTGCCGGTCATTGCATCCTCTTCAGGGTATGACAACAAATTTTCTCGCGAAGACGTAATTAACGATAAACGTGACATGTCCAGCTGCGATCGATTGAAGTCCTTACGCAACTTTGCCGCCTCGGCAGGATTGTTGAAACGGAAGATATTGGTGCGGCCGAGTAAAATAATGTCGCCCTGAGAGATCTGCTTGGGCTCGTCAATGAGATGTGCATTCACCCAGCACTGTGCCATTGGCCAGGGATGCAATGTGACCACACCACCCTGCAATTTAATGCTGCAGTGTTGCGGCCGTATGCCATCGCCCATCAGCTCAATATCCTGCGGTACTTCAGCATCCTCGGTGCCTATGCGTGTCTCGCCCTCCTTTAGACTATAGAGCGTCACGCCGGTCGTCACATCGTTATGTATGCCAATGAGATGTGGCATTTCTGAGTCCAGAACCACGCCTACGCCGGATTTTCGCAAGCCCAGACTCTTCTGCTCCTGTAATATCGATTGCGCCACTTTCCATTTCTCTGTCCACTCCTCCGTGAGCACTTTCTCCTGCGCCTCTGCCTTTTGCAAATCAGCGAGCACTTTAAGAGATGGTTGCACTGAGTTCTGCGGGTAATAAAGATTAGATTACTAAGTGATTTAAGAATCTAACACTAATAGTATATTAAAAGCTTGTTACAGACACTATCATTACTGCCTACAAATTGTATATTTTGTTAAGACAACAAAATAGAGTTCATAAGTCTAGTATGAATCTACAATATAATGTGTAATACCCTGTATCCAAACAAATTTCCGGGACTGAGTTACACGCGTCCATAACAGAAGTCGAAGAAGAGCAAACATGATGCTGCAGTTTCTGGGCGTTGTACTGGAGTGAAATTGTCTCGCTAATAAGTCTTCTTAGAATTGACCGATTGATGAAATTTAAAGCAAAACGATATAATTGTATATAGATTATGTTTGGTTAACGTAGCTTTTGAAATGTGGACATTATTGACAAAATTCTGTAGGGGGGAAAAATTCCAAAAAAATAAAATAAACTCGTCCTTTCTCGGACCTAGGAGAATCTGGATACCAACTTTGGTTAGTCCAGCTTTTATAGTTTCTGAGATACTTGAGTTCATCCAGACAGACGCTGATTAAGAATACATATACTTTGTGGGGTCGGAGATGCCTTCTTCTGCCTGTTAGATACTTTGTACAAACCTAAAATACCCTTTTTACCCTACGGGTACAGGGTATAAAAATGTATTATCAACATCTTTACGTTCAAAATGGTTTTCTTAAACTCTCAAGTCGTATACTAATAAATTCAATTCAAAGAGTAGTGCAATTTATGATACGATAAAGCCTTATTCGTCCTTATTCGTTTTACTTACAATGTCGCCGGTCAGCATCGACTTCAGCTTATTGATCTCCTCCCTGAGCTCTCGTATTAGCTTCACATTGGCATCCTCGTTCACAGTCGGCTTGTTGATAATATTTTTGGCGCGATTTGCATAGCGAAGTGTGCTGAGAGTCTCGCCATAGTTGCAATCGGCCGGAGACAGGGCAGCAATCATAATGGTCTTGCTATTGCCCCCCAGACTGTCCTTCAGTAGCCAGGTGAGTATTGAGTCGCGGTAGGGTATGTAGAGCACTCGTTTCGTACCGCTATTTGGAGTGGTGGCCACACCCGTTTGCTCCGCCAACGCTGAGATTACACTGCCCAGCGTTACGAGCGATTTGTTAATGTGTGCACCCTCCTTCAATCGCTGGCCCGTGGCGCCCGTTGCATTGGCACGCTCACTGCAAAAAGGAAAAAACAAAATACGAAACAAAACAATTGTTACTTGGTTTGATTTTTGTTGCGTCGCATTTTCTAGCACACTCTTCATGCTCCGCTTGCGTTTGCTGCGTTTTCTGAAGCGCTTACGCACCTGCCCGCCAAATCGACCAAATGGATTTTCGAGACAGTCTCGCTTGGCATGTCATTCATGAAGACGGCCTGCACAAATGTGATCGTGAAGATGGCGTGACTACGACTGCTCGTATCGTTCATATTGGTGCTGGCCGTGGTGCGTTGCGCATTGCCCCGCGCAATCCATTCCTGGAAAACGTAAAATTGTTAGAGGGTGTTGCATAATTTGAAAAAAATAGAGGACCTTAGAGTTCGGTCTCTAACTCACCTGAATCTCATCGAAGTCTGACACCGCATGCTGCGACAAATTTTCCACATACGGTCCCAGACTGCGGTGTTCACGCACGCGCAGTCCATGACCAGAACTCTGAGTTGCCAGCAAATCCTTGACGCGTTCATTGTAAATCTCCAGATAGCTGGCATGTGTGCGGTAGCCGGTTCCTGATTCCTTACCGACACGCATTCGCGCAAACAATTCCTCACATATTCGGGGTATCAGACCCGGATTGCTGGGCGTGCCCATCATTGTGAACGTTTTACCCGAGCCCGTCTGGCCGTACGCAAAAACGCAGGCATTGTAACCTGGAAATGGAAGAGAAAATGACTTGGGGCATTAAAGGGCTCCATTTCAAGTGTCCGCGTATGTGTCATGGCAGTTAATTGCCAGCTGATGCACCTAACAACTCAGCAAGTTGGCGCAATTATGGCCAACACTTTTACTACAACTCGACTCGAGTGTCACTCAACAGAGAAGACAGCCCAACACGCCCACTGGGCGTTTGTATTGCGACACATAACTGGTGCACATAACAGCACAGTGGTTCGTACTTAAAACAAAAATAAAATAAAAATCATTTTAGTTAGATAAAAACAATGTGCAAGTCTCTTATCTGCAGATCTCTTCTAATCTAAGCCTCGAATACATGCCACTTCTAGTTTGTATTACATTTATACTAAGCACTAATCATTGTTTTAAAATAGAACATATAGTATATAATAAAAAAGAAAAGGATAAGTATATGAAAACTCTTGCTCTTGTCAGATGAAGTACTCACAATCAATAAAAATCCCAAATCGCTGAAAATAAGGAAGTAAAAAGTGGCTTCCTTAAATGGTTACTATTTATTTTATTTTTTTATACTCCCCGTATAAGTAGATATCTTGCATTCCATGCTATCAGTGGCTAAGGATTTACGATTATTAATATATAAACATATATACTCATATAAAAACTTTTAAAACTCTAAGTGGAAATTCGGTAAGGCTTTTCCAAAAGCTCGATAGACGGGGACAAAGACTCTATTAAGATGTCGCTATTTATATATGAAATATTGGGGAGAAACTTTTCACGGGCGAATATTCCATTCCATATTCCATGAACATAATATCAGACTTGCCAGGATTTTGGTAAGGCTGCTTTTGTGTGTTCCTTCTTCTCACTGAATGGCTTCCCTTTTCTAGGTCAAGTAGAGTGGTTTTACTTCTTTGCTTTTTCTTGACTATCTTGTATAGTATATTAGCGCGAGGGGTGTACATTTAGTTCAATGCAGAGGGATTTTAACTTCAATCTTTTGCTATTTTATATTGCATATTTCTCCTTGAACCTTTTCCAATACGAAGCATTGCTTTCTGGACTGTTCGCACGTACTCTAGCAGCAATATTCTACAGAGTTTTAAATTTAAAAATAAATACAAGTATATACGTGTAGTTAGTCAAGATCTTCTCTATATTAAATATCATATAGGCAGATTTTAGATAATGTGTATTATTGGAAATCTAGCCTCAGAAGAAGACACTTCGAAAAGAGCTAAGAATCGTGCTTAAATTGAAAAGTTCTCCTACGAAAGTTGTCGCCACGAATATGATGGACAGTTCCACTTTTCCGAGACGGTCGATTCCCTAAAGTGTCGTCGTTATTTTGTAAATATAGTTTAGTGTTTTTCCACAAGCTCTCACACCAGTGTGCGATGTTTGCCATACAATTAAACACATACAAAAGAGTTTGTTGGTTTGCTCGTCTGCTGTCCTGACTGGGCAAATGGTTAGGTGATTGTGATTGTGATTGTCGTCTGTTTGTCTGTTCGTCTGTCGTCATCTGAGACCGCACAAGTGGCGCAAACAGTGCAACAACATTTAACAACAATTGCACACAGTTGCTTAGTCACTGAGCCGTTGAGTCAGTCAACAGGCCAGCAGACAGTCAACCAGTCAGCCAATCAGCCAATCTGTTCCAGCCAAGCAGCCATCCCGTCTTCTCAATGGGCCTCTGCTGAAGGGGCATTGTCATTTCATTTGTTTAGCCATTTATTATGTTTTCAGTTCTGTTTTTGCATTTTCGTTTGCGTCATGTCCAAGCTTTGGCTTCGTGGCTAATTCATGCACGTCGTAGTTGTCATCCAACTTGGCCCGTAATTTGATATTGAAAGCGTGCCAATCCTATTGTTGCAGCAAACAGCTGTTCCATTTGGTTTGGTAAATATTTTGTAGTGGGCGAAAGTTTTTTGTTTGCATTTGCGTCTTCATTTTCATTTGCAAAAATTAGACTTTTGTTTTATTTATTAGTTGTTTCTTCATGTACGACTACATATACAAGTACATACATACATATATATTTTTTCGTGCGTTGTTGGAAGCAGTGAAAGCGCATGAAAAATTACGGCAGCGCGTGAAAATGTTACGCAGGTTAGGCCTCACAGCTATTGTGGAAAATCGCTCAGACCGCAAATCTTTGCAAACAATTCAAAATCTTGCGCCGGCACGTGACAAGCAATCAATCAATGGCATTGCCAACGAACCGCAAGACGAACCGCCAACACCACCACCACCACCACCACAAGATAGCGACAAGTGGCTCAAGGGCAGCTATGTGGTGCAGGGGCGGGGACAGGGGCAACAAAAGTGGCGGAGGAAATGTGCACGATTATTTAAACATAATTAACAAGCCAGCCAATGAATGGAGTATACTAAGGAACGCATAAGCATATGTGTGCGGATTTATAGATGTGCCTAATTTTAGCAATGCCTACGGCTTATAGAGAACACCTACGAACGAATAAACAAAACTTAAATGTAAACAAAATTAAATCAAAAATAAAAAGAAAAGAAGACAAAAATAAGAAGGAAAAATTATGTAAAAAAAAGGCAAACAGAAATTAATGGATAATATGGATCCATCTTAATATGTATTTTTCTAACGAAAATACAAAAATACTCCCCACATCAGCAACAAACTTAAATGTTATACTTGTATATAAGCAAGAAGCCCTAAAAACATATTTGTATCAAAAGTTAAGATAATTTTTTTGCAATCTTTTTGGATGATATTTAGAATTTTAGTGGTAACTTTTTATTATCTTGTTATTATCATTTTTTCCAATCCAAGTCTACTTTATTCTCATAATCTACGCGAACTGACGCGCTATAGCTAAGTCTTCTTATTCTCTTTGGCTAAAATAGGTGACAAACTATCCGATCACATTTATTTAGTTTGTCTGTTGGCAGCTTACAGAAACGTCACACGGTCTAAAAGTTTTGGAAGGGGAAGTCAGCTACGCACTATAGCATCTACCATCACTACCGATTATAACTCTGGAGCCATAGCTCGCATTGAACTGTGGAAGTGAGTTGCAAAGTGAATATCGTTTGCATTATCGAGGCTTTATTGAGGGCGCCCTATTAACGACGCAATCGAGGACAGTAATAAGCAAAAGTTACAAGAGCAAACATCCTTTAATACGCTACTTGTGATGGAAAACTGTTCGGTATTTGTTCTATTAAGAAGACATGTCTTCAACTGACATGCAAGTCTTCGACCTCATACAACGCAGCGATCATCTCTGCTATTTTATCTGGGATCTCAATTAATAGCACTAGGAATCTTAACGTAATACATTTAACACAGTCCAGACTACTATTTAGTTATTGCTGGGCAGACTTTTAAAATAATTATTATTGTGTTTATTTCTGGTTTATTGACTTCTGCTTTGGCTTGGAAAACTAACAAATCTGGGGGAAGCAAAGAATAAACCACAACGAGGTAAGCTAGACCAACGGATGTTCTGGTATTTTCTAACAAAAAGTATCAAAAATGAACTGGATTTGTTTAAAAAAATGTTTTTCTAGTAATTAATAATAATCGCCAAAAAATTACATATATATAATACATACAGTCTTAATCTCAAAACTTAAATGTTTTCCAAATTAAGCGCGAAAACTATGTAAAAGTTCCATAAATGTTGATCTGAAAATCATTTGTTATGTATTTCATATCTGTTGATAGTTACTTCCGAAATAATACCTAGTCTATTGTTGTGCGATTAGATATTAGATTCTGATATCTTATCAGTGAGAACAAAAATGAAATGAAATTTCTAAAGAAAGCCAAAGAGAAAAGAAACCCAACATAGAATCTGAAACTTTCCCATTACTTGTGAGGCATTGGCAAACACATAAATTTTGATCTGAAAATCATTTGTTATGTATTTCATATCTGTTGATAGTTACTTCCGAAATAATACCTAGTCTATTGTTGTGCGATTAGATATTAGATTCTGATATCTTATCAGTGAGAACAAAAATGAAATGAAATTTCTAAAGAAAGTCAAAGAGAAAAGAAACCCAACATAGAATCTGAAACTTTCCCATTACTTGTGAGGCATTAGCAAACACATTAAGCTGTAACCGTGGTTCGAGTGAGTGGCTTATTTGCACGTTGCACTGTAAGCCAACCAGTTCGAATATAGTCTGAAAACGCGCGTAAAACGCACACAGAACGCAAGGCGCCATGTCGGCGACTAATTTGTGTCAGAGTCATGGCCATTAAGCAAACACAGAAACAAAACAGACATAAACAATTAGCGTTAAATTAAAGCTAAATAATGTAAGGGATGACATCAACCGTCGGGGATGTAAACAAAGAACGTATTCTTCACTCACCTTCGTAGGCACAGTCGACGACATCGGTGCCCAGATCGTCGTACACCTGCTGTTGTGTAGCAAAATGCGGATCTTCGACATCGAAGGACCAGTACGAATAGTCGAAGGTGAAATCATGAAAATTATCGCGTCCAGCATCGCGAATGGATTGCAGTCTGGGCTTAAAGAGGCGCGTCTTCTTGCCCTCCATCTCCACAATGAGTTGGGCGTCCAAGTCATTCTCGCTGCAGAGAAAAAGAGGTAACAAACGTTAGTTGGTCAGTAAATTGTTGCAGGTGTTGCTGATTTTGTTGTTGCAAGTGCTGTCATGATAAGAAGCGGCAATGGCACAATAATTACCAGAGTCAGCAGTTGGCGTTGAAATGTCTTGGCCAAACAAAGCGACACTGCCTTTAATTGCTTCATTCAAATGACTAACTGACATCGCCCGCGTTGTCGTAGTCGTGCGCCTATTGTTAAAGGCTATTTCCCTTGATGTTTTAATGGCTGTTATTATTATTTTTTCAGCTAAAAATAGTTGAGTAACTTCGGCACAGTTGGGCATAAATAATCGCATGAGTTGCCGGCATGACACCAAATTGGGAATGACGCCAACTTCAAATCGGATTCACAGATACATTAGCATGTACTATACTAATTTTTCCAAAGGCCCCGTTCCATATTAAGCTTCAATTTCCTAACTAGAATGTACATTTTGAAAAATCGATCAAAGTTCCCGATTCCAATACTAAGTATGAATGAGAGGTATATTTATAGCAGACCTTAGTGGCTTTCTTAACGAAGAAACAAATAAATTAGTCACTGAAGCTATTGTTTTTTTTTTTATTTCTAATAAGTACCTATAAATTATTTATTTTATAACTGATGGAAAAGAAATTTCCTGTTAAATATTGGAACAACAAAAACTAATGCGTATTGTATTTGAATAGGTATTGAACTATAATTAAATTTTTCTTTATTTGTCTTATTTTTGTCCCAAATGATATTTATCCTAAGTCTTATCATATAATAATATACGTTTAATACTAAAGAGTTTGATGTTGAATGGATTGTTTTAAAAACAAAGTTTAATTTTCTCAAAATTAAATATCGTGTTTCCATTCCTGATTTTTCCGAATGTATTTCTATATTTGACAGCTTCTTATCGTATAAGCTATTTATATAACAAGTTTTATTAAAAGCATCGCATTTTTTGGAACTATTTAATTAAATATTTATGATACTCTTCATATAGCAAGTAGTTTTTGTAAGATCTTGTGGGATCGTATACGTTAAAAATACTTTTGAATTAGTCGGACCACCAACACTTTTAAAAGATTAGCAAGCCGAACAGAGAAAAGAAACAATCGAACACCTTTTGATTAAAATAAAAGGCATTTTGGTACTAGGGCCGATTCTACAAATTCCATTCTCAAGAACATTGACTATGTATGAAGTTATTATCAATGAAACGAAAAAATAATATAGTTTAGACGCCGTCATAAAACGAAACTTGATTGCAACATCATCAAAAGGAAAGCGCAAGCAACAATAATAATAACAACAATAAAAAGTAGAGAAAAGAAAACTTGCCGCTAGTCATAGAACATTTATATTTGTTGTTGTTTATGCTTTCTGTTTAACATTTGGACCAGAGATGTGGGGGCGAAAATACAGGCAACCGGTTGACTCGAGTTCATGTTGCAGCCACCCACACACACACACACACACACACACACACACACACACACACACACACACACACACACACACACACACACACACACAGACAAAGACATGCACACACAAATAAACAAAAAACTGAGAGACAGACAAACGAAAAACTTAAATGATAATATGCTATATGCACATAGTGTGTGTGTATACATATGTATATAGTATAGTATATGTATGTATAAAAGGCAGAGGCAACAAAGCGGGTCACCAAACTAGCAGTTGCATGTGGCAGCAACAACAAACGAATGCCACCCAATTCAATGCGACGCGGCGGCTCAGCGAGTAAGTCTACAGTCATGTAACGGAACGGAAAGCGAGGCGCAGTATGCGGGGTGCGGTGTGCTGGCATTTCATTTATCGCCTCACATCAAACATACATACATAAGTATGTACATATGTATACATAGTATATAGAGAGTTTGTGGCATATCTTTTTCTATCTGCCCGCTTGCTTGTTCCATTTAAAGCATCAATTTTTAGGTCATTCCTCTTTACAGCGACTTATAGCCTTAGCTTAGATCTGCCTACAAGCCCACAACAACTATGAAATAAGTCTCATTCTCATTTCAAGCGGTCTTAGCTTAGTGGCAGTCTTTTAATCTTGCCATTCGAACAGAGATGGGGAGGGGGTGCTTAAATTTTGAAAAGCTGCGAAACAAGTTTTCATTCACGCGTGCTCGCCCCTTTTTGCATTGATTTATGGTATAATTGAGAAACAACAGAAACAACGAGGTATATGAAGCCAACAGCAATAACAACAATTTCTACATATGTACTCGTATATTTATCTTTTTTTTTTGTGACTCGACTTGACTCATCGGCAAACACCAATACACACGATGGTGGCGATAATGATGATGATGAACGTGGAAGTTGATGTTCGTGTTTAAGTTTCGTGCAAAAATCGCACATTCCTACATACATTTGTTTATATACTGTAATCTTCATAATTTATATCTGCCCCCAAGCAAATGTAGTATGTATGTGTGAGTATCTGTGTGCAGTTGTATCTGTGCCCGTTTGAAGTGCTAAAAATCACAACCAAAATTTTAGTGCAATGTGTTTTATTGTTTGTACTCGTATGTATGTAATAAGTGTGTGTATATTCACAGAAACACAGCATGTCAAGAAAGTGTTTTGACTCATTCAAGGGAAAGGCTCTATTTATTTTATAAGCGCACATATCGCACAAATCCAAAAAATCCAAACATTGCTAACTTTTGCAGGAGTGTTTCCTAATTTTTATCGTTTGCGCTTCTCAACATCGATTTATTTTGATTAAAAAAAGGTAGTTATGTACTAAACCAGCACATATATATGTAAACATAAAAACATTGTCTAATCCACTACAACCACAAGCTTAACTTAAAAAACAACGACATTGAAAAACAACGGCTTGCATAAATGTGTTAACTGCAATTACTATAAATGAAAAGATCTCTCATTAGTTCGCGATTTAGGGAAAGGAAATTTATAAAAAATATTTATAATATATAAATATATAAAAAATATTTTTAATATTTGGTCTTAAAGTAAAGACACCAATAAGTTTGTTCAGATACTTAGAAACTTTCATTTAGAGTAAAATCATTTGTTTGCAAAAGGAAAGTTTATAACACAACTTGTAAAATTGTTAGAATTTGCTTTAATTGTTTGCCTAATTGGCCATATCTCCATTGACAATATAGAAACTGATAGAAGCTTAGCCAAGTGAGGATCGTGTCGGGTTTCCTTTTGATATTGAATATTACAAATGATATACTTCTTACATACTAGATAATTTAGATTTTGTCAAAATTGTTTTAAAATATACTGTACCCACTACATCTAAATATGCTTTTGTTTTCGTTCATGGCGCGCGCTCTTGCATGACGACCAGCTTTAAACACACACACATACATGCACATGTATGTACATAAGTAGCATATATATGTTTATATATACAAGTTTGTTCGACTCTGCATAAATAAGAAAATGGCAAACATATTTGCCGCATTCGTGTCGTATAGCTGCCACACTTTGAGCCGCTGTTGTGTGGCATGTGTGTGTTTTGCATAAGGCTTTGATGATGTCACATCGTGGCATGATGTGGCGATTTACCTTTAATTACAATTTTTTCAGCGCAATTAACACAAAGAAAGTAAAAAACAATGCAAAATACACAGTTAATGATATACATGTGTATATATAGGTTTTTGTTTCTGTTTTTGTTAACATTTATCGAGCAGTTGCGCATTTTGCGGCCTGATTGTGAGATGAATGACATCATTACCCTGTTCATCTTCTTTGTTGTGTATTTTGTCTTCTGTTGGCTGCTGCTGCTGCTGCTGCTTTTGCCATTTTCTTGTTCCCAACTGTGTGCTCTTGTTACGCCTTGTGCGTGTGTGTACGTGTGTGTGTGTGTGTGTGTTGGCCATGCCAGATAGACAAGATAATAACAAAAACAAAAATAAATAACTGCGATTTCTTTTAAATACTGAATAGCTTTTTACGCTACCGAGCATCTATAGGATTATTAATACTGTATAATGTTGTCTCAAACAGAACTTATTTCAAGCCAAGTAACAGGAATGAAACAGTTATTAAAATGGAATGGAAGTATAATGGAATCAACCATATCGCCCATTCCTAGCTTCAACTAAAGTGTCCGTTTAAAAAAGAAAACATCGTAACAAAGGATGGCCTAGTGCCATATAAATAAGTTTTTAAACTTCCCTAAGGTACAAAAAATAAGGGAATACGCCTCAGCAGTTCCAAAATCACAACTTCTGCAATCTTTTCGGCTGAATAATTAAAGTCATAGAATTAAAAACGATTAAAAATGAAAAAACAAAGTAAATCCATCATCCAAAATATACAGGAAAGTAGGAAATATTGATTTAAAGTAAGCCCAAATGGCAATTGCCGAATAATTAATATTTCTGATTCCCAAAAAAACCCAGATCTACAAATGTTGAGTCAGCATAGCAGCTATTTCAAGAGTCTTAATTAATAACAGCGCTTTGAAAGCACAAAAACTAAGTCTTAGCAACCCAAGATGAGGGTATAAAACACAAAATTAAAAGAGAGGTCAAAAAATATGTTTAATGTGGTTTTAAGTGGCGTAAGTTGGCCAAGCAGCTAGGCCAGACCGGTAAGCCAAAAAGGTTTGCACAATTGCTGTAGCAACGTTTTGCTTGTGTTGTTGTTGTGTGCCTCTCATTTGAGCGCAATATTCTTGGCAACGTCAGCAGCGCACGAGGTGGTGAATGGATTTTTAGTTTTTTTAAGTGATTTCATTTTTATTTTATTTGAATTTTCTTCTTTTGTGAAGGGCGATTTGTGCTGATGCGACGCAACAGTTTTTGTAAATTGAGGGGCGTAATTGCGCGGCCGCTTATCGGCCGGCACAGTCAATGCTGACGCCATAATAATGCTAATAATGGGTATACAACTACATACATACAGATTTAGAAAAATCGAGCTTACCGTGTGTTAAACGGGCGAACCCGCACAGCAACCTTGAGCGATGACATTTTAGCCAATGGTGGTGGTTGCTTCTGCTCCTGCTCCTCCTTTACTCCTTCGCTATGCAGACCAACACCAGCGACTAAAGTTATGTGTTTGCTGTTTACGTGTTGTTTTTGTTTTTATTTGTGTTGGGTGGGTGGTGGTGGTGGCGATGGTGGTTGTTGTTGCAATAGATGAGAACTTTAGGCGTACAGTACACATTCGCAAGCGCGTCGCCGTATGGGCACGTAAATATTAGAAATAGTTGAACAATCGAGCAGCTGCCACTCTTCTTCACTTTTAACAAACTTTTCACTAGGTAATTTTTGTAGCTGTTATGTTTTACTGTTGTGATTTGGCCTTGTTAGTGCTCGTATTAGCTTGTTTTTCTTTTCGTTTTCTTGTTATGTATATACTCTTCTTCCTTTCTGACACGTTTCCGTTAATTGCGGCAGCGACGCAGTTGACGTTCCTTTGGCTTGTACTCGGCGCTCTAAGGGGCACATACTAATAGCAATAATAATTGTGCGCAGTTTAATTCGCTTGTACCTTTAGTAGTTATCATCATCGTATTAAGGCAACAAGCTAAACACATACACACACAAATAAAAAAAATCAGCAGTACCCCATTTGTTTGTACAAGTGTGTGCGTGTATGTCTATGCAAAATGACTTGTCAACGCAAGTGCACGAAAAAGCACGAGTTGTTGTTTGTTTGTTGTAAATTAAATTATTAATTTTTTTTGTTCACCAGCACAGTTAACTTGTTTTAACCACATACGAACGCGTTGTTAGTAGCATAATGTAGCCGTCAGACTGAAATGTTGTTGCATTAACCAAATGATGAACTGCCAACTCGTTCAAATGAATTGCTGCCACAGAGCATTCTCGGCTCTTATCGATGGTTTTGCAGGTTGGTATGCCCAGAAGGTGCTCGGCTATCGATGTGTAGCTGATATCGATATGTCGCCAATGTATGCACACACTAAGGCTATTCGTGAAAGCTTTTTCATAACAGACAGGACAAGGAACAACAATAATTTCAATATGGTGACTTGTTTCTAAATTAAACGCAGTCCAGAGTTTATAAACATCTTTAAATAAAATGAATTTTCAACAAAAGCACCTAAAACATGACCCCAGATGTTATTTTAACATTGATTGTTGTAAAGAAATTCTAGTAATATAATTAAAATCACCCCGCAAGTTGGTTTTGTTTTTCAATGTTGTGCAAATATAATACGAAGGCATCTGTATAATATGTATTAAAGCTCACTCACATTTCAATAAATATCAGTACGTATTTAAAGGAATTATCAACTAAATAAAAGAATTATATGTAAAAAATTTTACGTATTCCCATATCATAAAGCTATCAAGCATAGGCACTTCCATTCTAGCTCTGACACAGTTCAAGAGCATACTCATAGCCCCAAAAGGTAGCAGCATTAAACGGTATGGCACGGGCTACCAACATCCAGCTGCCACGAAAAATGCTTCGCCAACCGTATGCTCTATAGTTGACCTGAACACAGTGTAGGATGCCTCGGAACTTATGATTTTCATCCGCTTGCATAATAGTCTTGACCACATCGAACGGAATGACGCACACCCAAGAGAGAATCCCCGCCCAGGCGCCGGCCAATGTAGTTACCAAGAGATTCACACTGGAACCATCAGGATGAGCGCGACGCTTGCGTACAAAATCGGTGTTATCCAGATAGTCCGCACTTTGCCGATAAGCCAGCATATATATGCCATAGGGCAGCACATCGCTAGACAATAGGAGCTTATTATGGGAAAGTTTAAGTGGATATTTGATTATAATTTTTACCGACACATCATAGGAACCAGTCCACGATAGAGACCAGAAATGCCGTCGTTCTTTAACACCCGTTTGAAGGTTCCAAACGGCGTGCGTTTTTTGCCATAGATGTAGTCGTTGTAATCTGAAAAACCATTGATCGTCAATTCTATGTGGGGTGCAAAATCCTTCTTATTACTTACAGCAATGCGTTTGGAGTCGGACCTTGATAAGCTCCATTGGGCATGCGATAAAGGATTGGATAAATCCTGACACAGATCCAGCTAAGAAAATATTGTGGTATTCCAATTGCTCCCGCTGATAGTCGCTGTGACAAACGCGCCTTAACTGACGCAGGTGATTGCCATAGATGCCAAAAAGTATTGAATTAATCGCACCCGTGGAGATAAAGGGGAAAAACATGCCTCTGTAGAAGCCGTTGATCTACACTAAACGAAAAAACAGATGTTTAAATCCTATAAGACGTTTGAATTCTTCCTTAACCAAAACCATATTTAAGATAGGGAGAGATATTTTATGAGCATTGATTGGCTCTGCTTGACCAAACCATGTTATTTCTAATAGTAAACAACATATACATATGCACAGAAAATCAATTTATAATAGATATTGTCTTTATAATTCACATATTCATATCATACCGACATATGTATGTATATTTGGGTAAGATCAACTTTATAATACATATTATTGGTCGTCGTGGAACCGATTCATTACGTTAAAAGTACAATAATAATACTGTAGAATCCCAATAATATTATTGAATTGAGAAATCTTTTTAAAACTTAAAGTTTTAGTGTGTCTATTTGGTTTTATAGTTGAGGTGGCTTGGGCAGTTGTTGCCACTTAAACTTACCCCATTATTGCGTTGGTAGATTTGATGCACGGCTGTCGCCACTGAGGTATTCGAGGCCTGTTGCCAGGTCTTGATGGTATCCAACGGATGAGCGACGAGCACTCCGCAAGCACCTGAAGATATGTTAATTGCAAAATTGTATATGCATAATTATTTGGCTAGCAAATGTCAGTGCATGCAAACGTATATGCAGAATTCGAGCACATGTTGCCACGATTCGTTGCCAAAAAAAAAGTGTAGACGGGAAAACAGAATTCACGCCAGATCAGGGGCGCCACTCATGAACTTGACCATAATATGCCTTAGAAGTATCAGCAACAACAAGTGGCTCAGCAGCTGCTCTAATGAGTGATGTTTCTCACAGATTGCGTCATCCATGCCACAAATCTTGGTAATTTCTAAACAGAAGTCGAACCCTCGCCCTTGCATTACGACTTCGTTTCTCCCTGACTTACCACCAAAACAACCAGCAACAAAATCACAATAATTCTCCCACTTCATGTCCCGCCGCACTAAAACTGATTCACTAAATGCAGCAATCTTAATTAAAAATCTGCAATTTACGAAATTGATTCGCGAAATTGATTTTCCTTCCCCACCCCTTCGAATCGTGTGCACTTCTCTCCAATTACGAAAAGCAACTGCATCCAAATGCAAGTATTTTGGGCTAAAAAGCTAAAATGCTTAAAAAGCTTTCACCGAGACAAAAGCTGATTGCTGCATTCACTTGAATTGCGTTACATTTTTAAAGTACATGCAAAATGATGACGAGATTTGTTTTTGAAATATACATGTAAATAGAAATTGTGATATGATGAATCTATATCTCTCCTTTAACTCTGAAATTGTTATCCAACAACTTCCATAGGTAATTAAATATAAAGGCATTCGTCCTCCACAACTTTAGTGTAAATAATTTTGTTGATTTTCTGAAATACTTTCAAAAAACAAAAAAAACAGATAAAAACTTATTTGTAGCAATAACGTTGAATTTAAGTAGCAGTTTATCGAGTTAGAGAATTGTAATCGTATTTTTAAAATTTGATTCTGATCAGTTAAACAAGTTTCGTTTTTGTAGTCAACCCGGCGAAATAAATAAGAAAGTCAAAACAAATCTTTAAGACAGTTTTCATTTTTTTTTTTATTAATTTTGTTTTTATTAGCTTTTTATTGTTGATTGATCTTCTTGCTTTTTTGTCTCTCTCATTTTTAAATGTTTCTCTTTTTGTTTTGGTTAATTTTGCTTGCAGCTATATGTTTTATCATTTGCCCTTTCCGACTGCATTCTTGCCCATTTTATTTTTCTGTTGCCGCCGCGCTGCTGCTTTATACTCATACTCATCTTTCATTTATCATCATTTGTCGGAGTATTTTCTGCTTAATTACGCTTGCTCTTTATATACTTTTTCATATATATATATATAATATATATATATAGTACCAACTAGACCTTTTTTCATATATATATATAATCATTCTCGTTTATACTTTATTTTTTATATTCTTTGTTGGTTGTGTAATTTACTTTTATTTGTTGCATTCTGCATAATAATTTTAATTTAGTTGTGTGTCTCTAAACATACGCAGGCTACAAAACATAATCATCAATAGTGTGTCAATAATAATATAGTAGTAGTATAACAAAAGGCGTCAAATTTAGAAATAATATTATAAAACAAACTTGCACACGTTCTCTATAAAAATCAAGTTTAATTTTTTGCATATATAGTATGCCATATACATAGTTTTTGTTTTGTTTTATACAAGTCTAAAACATAAGAAAATATTTCACTTTTTAGTCATATATATGTATATATATGTATCGGTTAAGCGCTTTAACTACTCGCAATCTGTAGTTGCTGTTGTTTCTGAATCTTTTTTTAGAGAGTGTCATTAAAGCGACATGTATTTGTTTTTTTTTTCGTTTCTTTTAGTACATATTTCGTAGTGTTTTTGTTTTGTTTTTACTCTAAAAGTACTTAACGAAACTTTTAGCTGGCTTTTAAGCAACTCTTGCAGCTAATTTCTCTTTAGCGATTTTCATTTTCCCTTCGTCTCTTTAAACATATATAAATACATAAGACCTACAGTTAAAGTTACATACAATACAAGATCCAAAGCAAGCTACACACTTCAACTCAGAGTGCAACAGAATATTACACAATTGGAAATCAGATTGAAAGAAATAAAGACCACGTGATCACTTATATAAATAAAACATTATTTATCATTTATTAGGCATTGTTTTTAACACTTTTACTTGTGAATTGTTTTGTTTTTTTTACATTTTTCTCTTTTGCTATATAATATGTTTCACTGATTGGCATTTCTATGTGAATTTCAACATTAACTAGGTAGAGAGAGGGCTATGGGGCTCTGGAGACTGTGTGCTGCGTAGAGACTTTATGGCTTGTTTACGGTCCTGACGAAGAGCTTTAGCAAACAGCTATTATACACATCTGTCTGAATAGTTGGGCAGAACAACAATAGCCGCAAGAACTCTTAAGAGTAAACACGGAAATTGTTTCCCTCAATCATCCGTCTATGTTAAGATAGGTGCCCCTGTCCTGGCATTACTACTACAGCTAATTTCTCAGATTCTCAGCGATAGATTTGGGGGGTAGAAAGGAAGAAGCCTATATGATATATAGTATATGTATATGGTCAACAGCATGCCAATCTTTAGAGTTTATCGACGTTTCACTTTGTTTTCTCGATTTTATGGTAATTATGCATTCTGTTATTTTTGTTGTTGTTCTTCTTCTTCATCTATTTTGTTAATTACACGCTAATATAAAGATGCAAAACTCTCGTACACACGTTTCTTAGTAATTAGGCCATAGGTTCATTTGAAAACATGCTTTTCAAGTTGCGTTCTTTTGCTTTAGTGGTTTACAGTTGCATAATGGTGTGTTGCATATTTGACTTTGTTTTTGTTTTCTTTATTAACATAGTTAATGATAACGCTAACTTTTATAATTTTTGTTTTACGAATTTAATATAATAACTCACGTTTCACAGACACATTTTATATATTACTTTAACTTTTTGCAATTTCCTTTTTTTCTGGTTTTTATTTAATTTTTATTATTTATGACATTTATGTAAGGTGTTTGCTTGTCTCTTTTTTTTCTTTTTTTTTGCTTCTTTTTTGTTTTGATAATGCATAATCGTACTTAGATACTTTTTAATGGGCGTGTGAGTTGAATGAACAAACATACATACATGGAGTTATTTTTTTTTCGCATATATAAATTTCATATACTATATATATATATATATTTGTTTATTGATAATGTTTTCATTTCTCGTTAATGCAATTTGTTAGTATGGTTGGGCCTAAGTGCGTATGGTATGGGTATGGTATGGTATGGGCGCAGGGACGGGGAGCACGCTGAAGGAAAATTGTTTTCTACTTTATTTACAATGATAAGATGCTTTATTAAGAGAATCGATTTTTTTTTAAATTGTGCGTATTCGTACAAAATTATTACACGAGTTCGTTTTAGTACACTGAAAGAAAGAATCTAATTGCGACCCGAAACTATTCAGCATTGCTCCCCAGCGGTGATGGAAACTCTCGTTCTGTTTGCATTTGAATTGTGGTGAGCATGTGTTGTTGCTTTCCTATAGACTAACGACTTTAATGTTTACATGTTGGGTTTTAGCTTAGACTTTATACATTTTTTTTTTCGATTTTCATTTTCGGGGACTTTTTACGCGTTTGTGTATAACTATTAGCCGCATTCTCGTCACTTCTTTAAACTTAAGACATTTTGGTAAACAAAACGGCACCACGCACACATACAAACATTCATATATATATATGTATATAATTATATAATAGATCAGCATTTACTTCTCAAAGTTGTATATGTATAAATTTCCGTCGTTTGTTTTTTATTAAATTTGTTTTTAAAAGCTACACTGTTTTTGTTCCTAGCCCTTTTATCTTAGCAGCGAATTCAACAAGGTACTAAATCTTGGCTACTTCAAGTGCTGCTTTATAGCTTGTTTCTTATTTTTTAAATTTATTTCATTTGTTTAACGCCGCTAGGTTTTATGTATTACTTGCTTGACTAAAGTAACGTATGTATGTTTGTAGTTGTTAGGCATGACCCAGCCGTGTAAAGGTGCATTAATGCATTATACATATCTTATAAGCCAGAAGACCAGATTAAGCATGGAAGGTGGGCAATGCGTGTGTATGTCTGTGAAGGGGCCAGAAGAAAAATGTGTCTGGGTGTGTGTGTAACACTTAAAGCTAAGTAACAAATTGGCGCATAGTTAGGCATTAGTTGCGTATTATATACAATGAAATTTTTTGCCAGGACTTTTAGAGTAACGTGGGAAGAAAGTAGCCGAAAGACGCAAAAAGTAGTCATGCATCGAAAGTTTATATTAAGATGTTGGCGTTTTTCTTTTTAAACTATTCTCATATTTATACACATTTTTAAATGGCTGTGAACATTTGGCGTGGCATGTGCAATAAACAGTGAAATGCTCACATTCAACACGTGTTTTTCTCTCTCTGTGTTTGTATATGTGGTTGTAAACAGAAGTGTGTATGTGTGGTGTTAGTTATGCTATAAAAAACGTTAACATGTGGCTGAGTTTGTGGGTGAGCGTGTTTTAGCGGTTATTGGGTGGCCTAATCTGCATTTTATCTATGTTATAGTTAGTAATGCATAACTTTAGTTTTACGCTGGTTTATTTATTTAAATATTTCGCGAATGCTTGGCTCTTTAACAATTATCATCATTCTTATTTCATCTTCATTCATCAAGTCTAGACTTCGCTTTTATCCTCGCCTTTATTCAATTTTAGTTTTCTTACTTTTTCCTTAAACATAAACGTAATAATAATATTTTTTCTCTCGTAATAGATATTTATAATATGTATGTGGTTGTGGTTGTTTTTTTTTTTCTTCTATTTTTTAAGATACATTATGTATATATTTATATAGATGTATGCTGCTGCTGTTGCTGCTGCTTCTCTCTTTTCTTCTATCGGTCCTAACCAAAATCGCTACACTTCCAACTTTCAACTAATTAGTTAACCTTGCCCTCCTCCGCGCCTAAATCATACAACAACATCAGCGCCAGCTTGCTTGGTTGGTGTCTTGTCAGAAAACGAGTATACAATTTTTGTTGATTTCATATTTTGGTTGGTTTTTTTTTGTTTTTGCTTTTTGCATATGTTTTGCGTTTTCTTTCAGTAGTATGTATGTAGTATGTATGTATGTATAACTTTTCTGCTTATATTATATAACTGCTTGTATATGCCACAGAGCGCAGCAATCAACGCAACGCTCATCGGTTGTGTTTTAATATTTCCAAAAGCTAACAATATGGTTTTTGTTTTATGTTCTTGCTTTTGTTGCTGCTGTTGTGTGCTATGTTTTGCTTTCGTGTTTCATCGGTGATTATTCCTCTGATTTATTGTTAGTTTCTAGCGCGCGTTGCGTTGCCAGTGCGCTTTTCTTTAGTTGTCGGCCTTCTCAGATTTGATTTTTGCATTTGCTGTCGCAGGATTATTGTCACCGCCGGCGCCTCCGCTGGACAAGCTGCCGCTGCTGCTGCTATTCGACTGTTGCTGCTGCTGATGAGAATTGAGAGCCCCCCCTGTGCTGGACGTTCCCGCCGTACCGGACGCGGCATTATTCGCTGTCGCAGCGCTGCCGCCAGCAGCAGCATTGCCCGCTCGCCCACTTGAACGATTTGATTCGAGTTCATGGAGTTTCTTCCACAGCTCCTCGCGATCTCTTTCACGTTTTTTTTCTCTGTGAAACCAGAAAATAATTTATAAATTTATATGAATTTGAAAATATATATAAATATATTTGATTCACACACTTTTGCCTTTCCGCCTTGTAGCTGGAGGTCAGCTCATCGAACAATTTTGAATTCATTTCCATAAACGTTTTCAGCACATTATAGACCAGCGCCACAATAGTTTGATTCCAATGTTCCTTACTAATGCGATATAGCGCTGGAAACATGATTGGCATGATCACCGCATTATTCTCCTCTATGAGGGACATGGCGTATTCATTATTCCAGAGATACAGAGCCCGTTCAGCAACCTGCATTGAAAAATACAGAAATTTAGAAGCATTCAAATGGTATTAAAAATGATCAAGAAAACAAATTTTTTAAGATTTTAACAAATTAACAAACGTTGAACGTATAGATTTGAGAGGATTGCAAACACTATTAATACAATAGTTTCTATTTCAATGAGGGATCGAACTCTTTGCAGTCCTTCCGACCCTATTATTACCAAAATATTAGAAATCTATTTACCTGAAAATGAGGACTCGATACGCATTTGGCAATTTGCCTGAACAGCGGTTCCTGTATCTTGACAAACTGCGGCGGATCAATAACATCCAGAATTTCTTCGATTTCACCCAAGAACATGACCTCTTTCTGTGAGCACGTCTTTGGCCAGAACTTTAGCAGACCACGCACCACCGGCTCGGTAAGGAATGGATCCTTCTCTAGGAATTGTACAATGCAATATGCCAGCTGAGCATGATAGAGCGATAGGCATTTCACTTTGTGGAGCGGCAGCAGAACTTTTACCAGAAATTGTTTGTGTTCCGCCTTCAGCGGCAAGGCAAAACCGTTGATAATGCTAGAAAAAAATGTGATAAAATATACATATATGTACATATATAGATAAATTCAATTGAGTAACTTACCTGCCCAGTATTTCCAAAAGCTCGCCGACGCCATTAAAATGCTCTGTTTCATAAATGAATCGCAAGAATATGTTGTTGATTTGTTTTCGTATAAAAGCACGTAAACCTAGAAATTTCCCATATATGCGGTGCAGGACCGTCTTTAGAAAGTCACGCTCTCGCGGATCTTCCGAGTCGAACAGCTCCAGCAACTGCAAAATTATGTCGTGAAATTAAGAGGAATACTTGGAACTGTTTATATTTTTTGTACGCACCTGCAGCACAAACTTCTGATCGATCACACGTTTGCCAATGGTTGCCTGAAAGTCTTGTGATTCTAGGAAACGCAAGAACACCTCATATACCAGCTGCAGATGCGGCCACGAAGCCTCTAATGTCGGATCATCCTCCTCTGGATCGAAATCAGGATTTTCACTGGGCGGCAAAGTCCGAAATAAATTACAAGAAATCTAGAAGCCAAATGTGAATAGGAATTAGTATTGGTACATTCAATTTTAAATGCTGTATACTGACCATGCGTATTATTTCGGGATAGACCGGTTCTGTTAGCACACCACGCCCATGTGTTATATAGGTGGATAGATCATTGAGTGCGGCACGTTTGATTTCCTTGCCTTTCAAATCCGTTACGGGATCCATAAAGTCAAATGATACGCAACACTGTCGCAATTTCCGTATGAACAACTCCTCCTGTTCCAAACTGGAGCAATCGGCTGAAAATGAAAAGGGATTTTTTAAAAAGGTATTCTTCGTTAAGAAAAAAGGAATTCATCATAAAAACTATTTCTATTTTATTTGATTTTTTTCATAATTGAAAGATTGCTCCCCATATTTTGGGTATGGTGAAATATTTTCTTCTAAAACTTAACGATTTAGTAATCTTAGAAAGGCTACATTTATCGTCTTGTGGTTATATGGATAGTGTCTATGATAGACAGCCATCTTGTTGTCTTTTACACTCACTACTCTGACAAAAATACGAACATATCAAAAATGATTTTGTCAGTCTGTATTGTACGGTTCCACAATCAGTTTAGTTATTCTATTATGTATTTATAACTGTGGAAAGAGTATTGAGTGTAATATTCAACCAGGTGGGTGGACTGGGGAACAGACGGATATATGTTGATGTATACACCTATTTATTTAGTATTTATTAATTTCCCTCACCCTTTAACGGCGGCAACTGCTGCAGCTCAACATCCTGAGAATTTCTGTAGCGAGAGGAACCTTGACTCTTTTTACTTTTCTTTTTCAATGAACGTTTGGCGAACGGGTCGATTCGATCCACAAACGTGCCCGATGACATCTTTTCAGATTTGGGATCGTTTGAATCGATGGCGGTCTCCGTGGCTGTCGTTGTGGTATTCAGCTTGCCGGCTTTGTATGTAACGTTTGAATTTGAAAAATTATCGTCCACCGCCGCCCCTGCTGCAACTGCACCCGCTGCACCCACACCCTCGTCGCCGTCTTCGTCGCCGAAATCACTCGCTAGAATTTCGACGGGCTTTTTGCTGCGTGATTTGCGTAGCCAACCGAAAATTTTATGTGTTATGTTGGCGACTTTTGCGGTTGAGTTTGGCGTTTTGCAATGATTTATTTGGCCCTCTTTTGATAATAACGATGAATTTGATGATTTTTGTTGCTGTTGTTGTTGGGGTGTTAATTGCTGCTGCTCCCCTGCAGCTACTACTTTGGGTTGTTGTTGCTGCTTGTGCGACTGCTGTTGTTGGGTTTGCTGCTGCTGATGTTGTTTCTGCTGTTGTGTAATGTTGATAGCGGTATTAAAACGGTAACGACTTATCTTGACATTTATATTATAGAGACTGAGATGTATGGATTCTGCTTGCTTTCCTCTCTCTTTATCCTCTTCTTATTCTTGTTGCTTGTTGATCTTAAATTCGTTACAGTATTACTTCCACTAAAAAGGAGAGAGTTTTTAAATTAGATGAGTGCGGTTTATTCGAATACATACGAGAGTATGGTTCGTTTTCTTTATTTACCTGCGAACCTGGCTAATAGTACTCTTTTTGTTTTATATTGTTTAATGGAGGGATTGTTGCGCGATTTGTTGTTTCTGTTGTGGTTGATATTATAATACTCGCTTAGCTTCTACGTTTCCTGGCGCCCTTGACACTGCTTTTGTTGTTGCTGTAGCTGTTGTTCGCTGAATGGCACATCAAATTGATAAGAACTGTTTGCTGCACGTTTGCATTCACATAGTTCTCCCCTTCGCTCTATGACTCTCTCTCTATCTCTCTTTCTCCCTCTCTCTTTCGTACAGGCTGTGCTCTGGTGCTTCGGCTAAGCTGTTATGATCTCGGTTTGATTTTTCGCATAACATGCACTGAAAGGAAACAAATATTCACATTAAAATTTGTCACACATAACAAAGCCACACATACTATATATAGTCATGTAGATATATTATAAAAGTAAATATAAAAAGCCATAAAAACGCTAGCGAATCCATATGTGTGAGTGTGTCTCCTCTTATCAACACGGCAAATATTTCAAATTTGACATCAGTGCTGTTCACTGCCAAATAAAACTTTGGGCGGTGCATATCTAATCAGAGTTATCTGAAGGCAAGTCTGTATGTGTTCTAATGACTGGGACACTGACGCTAATATCTAGGTGCGGAATGATAAGAAACCCTAATTTTAATTTTCAAACTGCGGCCCATCACCAGCTAAAGCTAAAGAAGAGTCCAACTTTGCAAGACTTTGGATGCAATTATGACACTCCTTACATTTGTATCAGACAATTCATCGTAGGGTTTTAAATTAAATAATTACTGTATTAGTAATTTAAAAGAATATACTTGTAATATAATCTAAGCTATTCAATGAGATATGAATTGATTTTTTGATAACCTGTACCCGAATTATATATGTATTTATGTAAGAGTATATAATAAATTCTGAACGTCAAATATTTGTAACACGCAGAAGGAGGCATGGCACACGTGTATTTACAGTCAACCTGATGAGTCAAATCTGTATTCTCGCAGACATGTTCACCTGTTCTTCCGTTCGAATACCAACAACTTTAAAAGATATAGCCGGTAAGAATATCCTAGCCTATCGAGGAAAGGCAATGGGCGCGTTCCGCAGGTCGTAGCGATTTGTAATACAAGTATGTGATTACCGATTGTTGATTTAGCTCTGGTGACAGCTTATGGTGGCTATTTGATAAAAATCTTGTGATTTGTAGTATTTTTTGAGAAAATATTTTCGTTTTAGTTTGACAACTATTCACACAATTATATTTTATTTTTTCTGTGATTTCGATTGACATTTTTACTTAGGGGAATCACGAACCACAGCTGGCAGCAGGTTAAATCGGTAATTACAAATCGCTAAGACCTTCGGAATGCGCCCAATGATTTCTTTGCCGTATCGACAGTATTCCCACGAAATATTTTAGCTATCCCATCTTTTTGGCACTTATAATGTTCGATTATATCTGACTGAATGGAATAGCGATTCTATTAATATAACCGATTTCTTCCACATTTTTCTCTGGCAGCAGCCTCAGACCAATCCAAATTTATGTTGCATATGAATGACGCTTTTACACAGTTTGCTCTGCAGCACCAACATTGCCCGACATTTGAAACAAACCGCAGGAACACTACTGCTGCTGTAGCAAAAACAAAACAAGATAGAACGCTACAGTCGAGCAAGCCCGACAGTAAAATAGCCTGTACTCTCCACAAAAAGGAAAAATTAAAAAAAAAAAAATTAAAAAAAAAATTAAATTATTAAAAAAATGAATGAATTAATTAATTAAAATAATTAATTAAATTAAATGAGAGTACATGTTTATGTTCAGTTTTAACAGCATACATTTACATCACGTACCTATGCGTTTTTATATGCGTGTATGTATGCAGCACAAAGTTGAACCAAAGCAGCAACAACAACAACAGCTGCGGGCAGCGCTGCCGACAGAGGCAGCGCATGAGCAGCGATTTTACTTATGGCTATAACTTTCTTCAGAATTGACCTATCATGATGAAATTTGGCATACGGACACATTAGTACTAACTGGATGTACCTACCAAAATTTATTTCAAAATTCCGAGAATTACGGAAGTTATAAGAAAAAACACGAATTGCGGGGGAGTGGGGGGGTGCATCGAAAAAAAACTCAAACTCGTACTTTCTCGGTCTTAGGAGAATATGGAAACCAAGTTTGGTTATTCTAGCTCTTATACTTTCTGAGATCCTTGCGTTCATACGGACAGACAGACGGACAGACGGACGGACGGACAAGGCTATATCGACTCGGCTTCTCATCCTGATCAATAATATATATACTTTGTGGGGTCTGCCACGCCTCCTTCTGTGTGTTACATACATGCGCACAAAACTAGTATAGCCTTTCACGCTTTGGGTACAGGCTATAAAAAACATCATCACCACCACCCTGGAGCACGCAGCGCAAAGCAATTGCGAAATGCCATGAAATAAAGCGGCAAACCGCAGGGCATTTGCCGGCAGTGGCGGATAGGGGCTAGAGCAGAAATAGGGCCGGAATTTAGGCGTTGAAGCTAACAAATTAAATTTGTTAAATCTGTTTTGTTTATTTAATTTTAAAATGCTAAAGTCAGCGCCCGGAAACTAAATGGCACATCTTGCCATTTTGATGTAGCCAACGGAGACGTACTTGCTATAAGGGAGGAAATGAAAGACGTAAAAGTGGCGTGCGATTAAAGCTGAAACGGAAAAACTTGCAACTTGTGCATCCTGTAATATTTTGTTGCCATTGCCTGACCTGAAAAGCCATGGTGAACTTCAAACCAATAACAGCACCAACAACTACAACTAAGAAGTTGATATGTTGCGGTTTCACTTGAGGACATTGTGGCACTATAGTCTTGGCCATATCTATGAGCATGCACACACATGTTCATATATACATACATATATGTGGTATGTATTTATGTACGTACATATGTATGTTGTAGGTGGTTTTCGCGTTGGTCGGCTTGTCAAGCCACCAAGCGGGGGCGAGCGCATGAAATTGCATTCACTCGCATACAGGAAAGCCAACAACAAGTCAACAACAAGCCAAGAAAAACATGTCATACACGTTGAACGCACACAAGCAGAGACGTTACAACAACAAAAACAACAATGGCAATTGGGCAGCACCCACACAGTACATCCAAGCGCGCAATAATAAGAGCACGACCAGAGCGCGTATGAGTGACAAACAGGTAAATGCTATTGACTGACTCTCATGTGGCAAGGACCTGGCATCGGCGGGTGGGATAGGCGTGCAAGGAACAGAGTAAAGCGAATCTGTTGGACGCTGACAAACAAATAATGACAAGCGTGTTGTGCAGAGCAGAATGTACATATTGCTGGTGTTGTTACTGTTGCGCAGCATACCAGCAGCTGGCAACACACACCACACACAACTCTGCAATTGCCGCACATGCAAATACTTGCCCAGCTGGCATAAATAAAGGCCTGTCTATCTGGCTACTTGCCAGTCAACCACCCAATTTTCCAGTTTTCGTTTGCTGATTTCATTTGGCATATAAATGGCCTAGCAACTGTGAGGAAACAACCCGACTGGCGTTAACGGAAAGGATTTTAAAGATATTACAATATAGTAAATGGCAATTTATAAAAAACCCAATTCAACGCATATGTATGTACATATATTATGTAAGTATTCCTTCATTCAATTTTTTACTACCTTTTTACTCAGTTCCTGTATGAAAATACAAAGAAAATCTGTTTTTTGATCTGCCATTATCCAACTACAAAATCACTCTAACGGCATGGCGAGACAGGCAAACTGTTTGTACACAAAATTGACGGCTTTGCCAAGCATGTCAAGACGGTAATGCTATTGCTACAAAACCCAATAACAATTCTATAATAAAGTACATTCTGTTTATAAAAAAAACATAGAAAAGATATTTAAAACATATTTCCCCCATTTACGACCCACGAGTGATTTAACATGTAGCATATATTACTGAAATTATGTTTAAATACATAAACTATACAAAATTGTAAGTTATTATGAAAAAAAAAAAAACAATGTTAGTAAAACTCACTACCTATTAGATCACATTCCCGAGGAAATACGTCAACTACAAAAAATTGGCAAATGTGTTTGCAAACTTTTACAAAATTGTATTTTTGCTGTTGAGATGAAAATCAATAATTGCACTTTTTCAACGTTGACCCTTATGCTCTGCCTACATTTTGTTTCAATTTATTTCAATAAGTGCAGAACTGTTTCCTCTATAGCATGCCCTAATCAAACACACACCCACACAATCACTTACACTCACATAACAGCACTGTGACATTAATATATAAAATGAACAACTGCCAGGGTTGGTCATTTATTATGTTATTTTTATATAAAAGCATCAAGCGTCACAGCCGAGCCCATAATAATAACAACAACAATAATAAATGTTTGCCTAGTAGGCTGAAGACAAATGAATCCCCCCATGCGATATAACAACAACGACAACTAAAGCAGCAACAATAGGAGAGACTACGATGACCCGTACGATAAAAACGGCTGACCATACCCATTAGGCCATGTCCAACCGCAGAGAGCATAGACAATGGTTAGAAAGGTCAGCGCATAAAAACCCGTTAGTTAGTTGCTTTTGAGCATGTGTGTGTCGACTGTCCTTATGACTTTATTTACAAAATAAAGAAAAGACTAAAACGAAACAAAGCAAATTCCCCAACTAATAACAAAAACAAACCGACGTTGGCAGTGACAAGGCGCACTGAAAAAATAATGAGCTAAAGTTTTAATGTAAGTGTGTGTGGCATAAGTCGTTGACTATTTATGTCAGTCTTAAGCTACACTTAGAAAAAATGCTTAGTTTAGTATTGAAAGACTAAAGAAAACAAATATATACGTTGACTTTGCTTTTAAATTACATGTCAACAAATCGTTACAAAAATTACGTTTGAATTACGCGTGTAATTATCAGTAGAAATATTGGACAGCAAACAGATAACCTCAAGTTTCCTAGGGATTACGCATGAAATTTGGTGAAGGCGGGCCCAGCCGTTTCCGAAATGAATCGATTTGTCTTGTCATGCCGCTTCAGAATATATTTGTATGCTTATACATACATAGATACGAGTATATGTATACACAAGGGCGTACGCATACCCCTTAAAATGGAACTGAGTTGGATATGTTGAAGTGCATTATCTCTATATATATAAAACAGTTTGTCCTGACTAATTGGTGATCAACGCACAGCCCAAACGGTAAAAGATGAAATTTTGACTCAAGTATCCTTTCATAGTATCCATCATAGTGTAGGAGCACACTAAGAAAGGC